TATGTATGTATGTATGTATGCATGCACAGTGGGACCTCGGGTCCCGAACGGCTCAGACCACAAACAATTCGGGTGCCGACCGAAAAATCCGCTAAATGTTTCACTCAGGTGCCGAATAAACACAGCTGTGGCAATTTTCCCTGTGTATATAAGATAATAGATATAAGTACATACAAGATTATGAATACACGAAATGGATTTTAATAAATGGGGTTGTTAGGACAGGGACGGTGGGCACCTTGGTGTGCTTATGAAGCTTAAGAAGAGATTGGATAACCATTTGTCTGAAATGCTGTAGGGTTTCCTGCCTAAGCAGGGGGTTGGGCTAGAAGACCTCCAAGGTCCCTTCCAACCCTGTTATTCTATTCATGACTGAGCCCAGCTTAGATTACCTTTACCTGTTCCAGGATTCGAATAGTATTCCTCCCATATCTTATTCTGTGAACATTACTCTCCAGGCAAGGAACATCTGTTACTTTTGATCACCTGGAAGAGGCCAGCAATGACTAGAAACAGAGACCATGGAGACAGAAACGGGATGTGCAACAGGAACGAATAATTTCATGCTGGGGTTTTTCCTCTGACTCAAAGATTCATTATCGCTCATTACTGGAGAAAGCTCCAGTCTGATCTCAGAAGCAGTCAGAAGCAATAGGAGCTGCTTGAAAAAGAAGGGGCAGGTAGTCCTCAACTTACGACCACAATTGCAACCAGAATTTCCATTACTGTAAGCAAGCTTTTTGTTAGGTGAGCCATGCCCCATTTTACAATCTGGAGGAACCCAGATTCACTTAACGACTGCAAATTCTCTTAACAACCACAGCGATTTGCTGCTTAACCACTAGGGCAAATGGGGCAAAGCTCACTTAAGAACCGCCTTGCTTAGCAACGGAAATTTTGGGCTCAATTGTGACCATAAGCCGAGGACGATCTGTAGTGCAGGTCAAAATAATGCAGCCCCTTCATGAGATTCCCTATCTGCACTAACTGAGACCCAGCTATATTGGGAAAGTGCCTGACCGGGAGATGCTTCCCTGTTTCAAAGAACCGGTCAGCATTGCAAAGGTCTAACCTCTTGTTTGACTCTGCGCATGCAGGAATGAAATCTGCCTTGTCATTGGCTCCTTAGGTGGGCGAGGTCACCAGGTACACAAATCATGGCCACCAGCCATCACAGAGACCAAGGACAGTCTGGAATCCCCTGCCACAAGCCCAGGTATCTTCCCATCTTCTGACCTATGGATTGTGCAAGTTCCATTAGGATCTGTCTGAGCTGAAAAGAATCTAATAAAATATCCATTGTCTACCTGCATCAATATATTGCCGAGGTGGTGCAGTGGTTAGAGTGCAGCACTGCAGGCTACTTCAGCTGACTGCAGTTCTGCAGTTCGGCTGTTCAAATCTC